ATATATATTATTGCTTTCAGAGGAGAGAGAGAGATAGAGAGAGAAACATCAATGATGAGAGAGAATCATTGATCGGCTGCATCCTGCACACCCCACACTGGGGATGGAGCCCGCAACCCAGGCATGTGCCCTGACCAGGAAACGAACCGTGACCTCCTGGTTCATGGTTGGATGCTCAACCACTGGGCCAGCAGACCTTTAAAACACAGTGAACGCTGTGAGTCCACAGCTCTTTAAAGCAGCCTTTCAAGTGCCCACAAGCCAGACCCTGCGAGATGTGATCTCCGATTCAGGGATAAGGAGACCGAGTTCAGAGACAGGAAGTGGCCCCAACAAAAGGTGACCGACCCACCATACAAGTTCTGGCCTCAAAAGTCCACGCACCGGCCTGGAGCGTCAGGGCTTCGAATATTTGAACATCCCTTCCTCTGAAGTGCACCGGGGTTCGTTCATCAGACACGCTGATGGGGCGCCTACCTGGCACCCGGCCTTGCGCGGGGGGCGGGGCCAGCAGAGATGAAGGGAGTTTGTCCTGGAGGAGCTGACAAATGAAGCAAGTGGGCAGGTTTCCACAGGGAGGCCCTGAGGTTTTGGAAAACCAGAAGTCTGGAGAGCTGGCCCCTCAAAGCCGGGGACGCAGGACAATCTGCTGTGTATTTGGAGTCTGCATCGCCCTGTGCCCACAGGGCCCCTCATTTCATTGTAGGTAGTTGTGCTTTTTATTTTCCCTCCCTGTAGACTCTGAGCTGGAGAAATGGCTCCGTGGGCATCTGAGGGTTCGAGCAGCACTGTCCTGCCCTGTGACTTTTCCCGACCCCTGACCCTTCGTGCATGGCCCCCTCTGCCCAGCCATTTGGGGATGAGCCGGTGCAGCTGGACTGACAGGTGCGCGCCGTCACCAGGCCCTTTCATTGAGCTTCTGGAAGATGGAGCTTGTCTGGCCCGTCTCCGCACACACACACACACACACACACACACACACACACAAACACACAAACACACCACACACACACACAAAGGCACATATAAACACAAACAAACATACAAACACACACAAATACACACACAAACATACAAACACACAAAAATACACACACACACACACACACACACACACACAAACTAGTACGAAACCCACAATCTGTGACATAAATGAATGACTTATGATCTTCCCTGTGGGTTTACGGAGCGAGTGACTTGGAAGTTGGTTTGGTTTTGGGCAAAGCTGACCTAAGCTGTTAGAAATGAGGAGGTGGGTCCCTGTGGGAGGGGCCATCGGGCGGGAAGGGGTCCCCACAAGGCTTGTGGGGGCTACTGATGCTCTAGTTCTCGCTCTGGTGTGGGGCCTGTGAGAGGGTTCACCTTGTGAAAATACACTGCACTGTACCCTTAAATATGTGCAATTAAAAAAATTTTTTTATTGATTGATTTTACAGAGAAAGAGGAAGAGAGAGAGAAACAGCAATTTGCCGTTCCACTGGTTTATTTTTTTATTTTTTTAGGACATTTTTCCATTGATTTTTAGAGGGAGTGGAAGAGAGAGGGAAAGACAGAGAGAAACATCGATGTGAGAGAAACACATCAATTCGGTGCCTCCTGCATGTGCCCTGGCCAGGGAGGAGCCTGCAACCAAGATACATGCCCTTGACTGAAATTGAACCTGGGACCCTTCAGTCCACAGGCCGAACCTCTCTCCACTGAGCCAAACCGGCTAGGGCATGGCCCTCTATCCACTGAGCCAAACCAGGTAGGGCATGGTTGATTTTCTTTTTTAATCTTTATTGTTGAAAGTATTAGAGATGTTCCCTCCTCTCCACACCCCCCCCATTTCTCCCCTCTACCCAGTTCCTGCCCTGCCCAGGCCTTCATCACTCCATTGTCTGTATCTATACTAATAAAAGGGTAATATGCTAATTAGACTGGACGTCCTTCTGGACAAAGCCACGGTGGCAGGGCCAAGGCAGAGGCAGTTAGGGGTGATCAGGCCAGCAGGGGAGAGCAGTTAGGGCTATCAGGCTAGCAGGGGAGAGCAGTTAGGGCAATCAGGCTGGCAGGGGAGCAGTAGGGGCATCAGGCAAGCAGGCAAAGTGGTTTGGGGTGATCACACAGGCAGGCAGGTGAATAGTTAGGAGCCAATGATCCTGGATTGCGAGAGGGATATCCAACTGCTGGTTTAGAGGGATCAGGCCTAAATCAGCAGTCAGACATCCCCCGAGGGGTCCTGGATTGGCGAGATTGCAGGCCGGGCTGAGGAACCTTCCCCCCACACACACACACACACACACACACACGAATTTTTGTGCACAAATTTTGTGCACTGGGCATCTAGTATATCTATAATAATAAAAGCATAATATGCTAATTAAACCGGACAAGCTTCCAGGCGAAGCCCGGGCTGCCAGGGAAGCCCTGGTCCCGGGTGCCTACTGGAGGCCAGAGGGAAGCCTGGGTCCTGGGTACCAGAGGGAAGCTGATGCCAGCAGCCAGGGGAAGGAAGGCCTACTCTTGCATGAGTTTCATGCATCAGACCTCTAGTATTCATATAAGATCTTTGCTTAATCTCTCCTGCTCCTCCACACACCCCCTTCCCTCTGAGATTCATCAGTCTGTTCCATGTTTCCATGCCTCTGCTCTATTTTATGCATCAGTTTATTTTGTTCATTAGATTCCTTGTTCGTTTATTTTTATTTTTAGGTACAATTGGTGATAGATATGTATTTATGCCATTTTATTGTTCATATTTTTATCCTTTCTCCTCCTCCCCCCTTCCTCCCCCTCTTTCTCCTCATTCCCCCTCCCCCTCTCTTCCTCCTCTTCTTAAAGAATACCCTTCAACATTTCATATAATACTGGTTTGGTGGTGATGAACTCCTTTAGCTTTTTCTTGTCTGTGAAGCTCTTTATCTGACCTTCAATTCTAAATGACAGCTTTGCTGGGTAGAGTAATCTTGGTTGTAGGTCCTTGCTATTCATCACTTGGAATATTTCTTGCGACTCCCTTCTGGCCTGCAAAGTTTCTATTGAGAAATCAGCTGACAGTCATATGGGTGCTCCCTTGTAGGTAACTAACTGCTTTTCTTTTGCTGCTTTTAAGATTCTTCCTTTGTCTTTAACCCTTGGCATCTTTATTATGATGTGTCTTGGTTTGGGCCTCTTTGGGTTCCTCTTGTTTGGGACTCTCTGTGCTTGCTTTCACCAGGTAGGGGAAGTTTTCTGCCATTATTTCTTCAGATAGGTTTTTAATATCTTGCTCTCTCTCTCTTCTCCTTCTGGCATCCCCGTAATGTGAATGCTGGTATGCTTAAAGTTGTCCCAGATGCTCCTAACACAGAGGAGCTCTCCATATTTTTGGATTCTTTTTTCCATATTTTTGGATTCTTTTTGCTCTTCTGATTGGGTGTTTTTGTTGTCTCATATTCCAATTCTTTGATTTCATTCTTGGAATTCTCTACTCTACTGTTGACTCCCTGTAAATTATCCTTTATTTCAGTTAGTGTAGGCTTTCATGTCATTGATGTTCTCATTAATTTCCTTGAAATTCTCACTAAGATCTTTGAAAGTCTCACTAAGTCCCTTGAAGCTCTCATTAAAGATCCTTGAGCAACCTTATGACCATTGTTTTGAACTCTGTGTCTAGTAGTTTGCTTGCTTCCATTCATTTAAGTTTTTTTTTCCCTGGAGATTTCTTCTGTTCTTTCATTGTGACATGTTTCTTTGTCTCCCCATTTTGGCTGCTTCCCTGTGTTTGTTTCTATGTATTAGGTAGAGTTGCAATGTCTCCTAGAATCCGTAGAGTGGCCTTGTGTTGTAGGTGTCCTATAGGACCCAGGGGCTCAGCCTCCCTGTCACCTGAGCTGGGCACTCTAGGTGCACCCCTGTGTGGGCTGTGAGCACAGTCTTGCTGTAGTTGAGCCTTGATTGCTGCTGGCATCACTGGGATGAACTGACTTCCCGGCCAAGTGGCTGTGAGGGCCAGCTGCCACTACAGTGGGAGAGCTGCTGTGCAGGAGACACCCCTAGGGAGCAGGACTTGCTTCAGTGGGGCTTTGGTGCTCACTGAGTCTGCCCCTTGAGTGGGTCCCTTGTGGATGTGTAGACTGGTAATCTGGTATGATTTGAAGCTGTCCAGCGGGTGCACTGGCTCTGGAGCCTCCCAGGAGATGCAAAGCCAACCACTGACTGGGGCCACCTGGCAGGAGCTACCAAGAGATCTGCAGACGGCTGCTATTTTATTGGGCATGGAAGTGCCTAGTAAAAGCCAACCTGTGAAGCAAGGCAGACTGGTACGTGTGCTGGGTCTTGGGGGTCTTGGGCCTCTTATTGATAGGTATGGGGCATGCTGACTCGAGCTGCTGCTTCTTTAAAAGATTTTAGGAACGTCTGAAGCCTGAACCAGGACAGGCCATTCATATGGAAAAGCTGCTGCAAACAGCTTGGGTGGGGCTGCAGGTTGGATGGGGTGGGGTCTCAGGGAATCACCAGAGTGGAATTCACTGATGGAAACTCAGATATGGCTGCCAGCCAGCTCTGGGATGGGGGAGATCCCAGCACAGGAACAATGACCCCTGCGAGCACCTCTGTCTGGGAGAAAGCTGCCCCCGAGTTCCTGCCCCAATGCCAGACAATCCAGTTGTTCCCCATGTGCCCCTGGTTCCCCCAGTGCTGCCACCCAGCACTGGAACCCAGAGGGATCGAGACTGAGTAAGTTCCTGTGCCAGCGCTTTAAGAGGCACTGCCTGGGTCTCCTGCAGCCTCCGTGTCACTCAGCCATAATTCCTGCTAGTTTTTATAGCCTGAAGTTGCAGGGACTTCTCTTCCCAGCTCTGGAACCCTGGGTTAGAGGTCTGGTGTGGGGCTGGGACCCCTTGCTTCTCAAAGGAGGCCTCTGGGGCAGAGGCATCCCTCCCTGTTAAAAACATGCCACACGTGGGTGCCAAACCAGCCTGTTTCACGCCTCCGCCCCTCCCACCAGTCTCGATGTGCTTTCTTCTTTACTTCTCTAGTTGTAGGACTTCCATTCAGCCAGCTCTCAGGCTGTTCTGAATGATGGCTGTTGTGTATTTTAGTTGTAATTTTTATGTGGTTCTGGTTAATGCTTGTATGTGCCCTGACCAGGGATCAAACCCACAACCTTGGCAAATCGGGAGGATGCTCTAACCAACTGAGCTCTAACGGGCCAGAGCAAAATATTCGCAATTTTCTAGATGCCCAAGGAAATCAGGTGAAGTTCATAACATTGAAAGATTTTTAACTACATAGAGCAGCAATTTAAAAAAACAGGAATCCTATATAATAAAAGGCTAATATGCAAATTGTCCCCATGTGCAGGAGTTCAACCCACCAGGAGTTAGACGTGCGCTGACCACGAGGGGGCGGTGCAGAGCGTGGTGGGTGTTGGCGATACGGCGATGGCAGCCGGTGGCAGTGGAGGTGCTGCCGGCCCTGATGAGCCCTGATGAGCCCAGGACCGTGGCAGGATGGTGGAGCAGGTGAGCCAGCGGCTCGAGGCTAAGGCATGTATGAAGGGAGGCCCCGGCCAGCAGCTGGCAGCTGCCGGGGACCCTGCCCATGCACGGATTTCGTGCACTGGGCCTCTAGTTAAATCATAATTCAGACCAATGACAATGAACAAACACCCTGAATTTTCCCCTTTGCAGATCTGTGACTTCAACTTAAAAAACAAAACACATCACCAATTACCTCGTCCTGGCCACCCCCTGCACCCCTCCCCCATGCAACACATTTAAGGCTAGAAACTTCAAAATGTGCCTGACTTCTCTCTGTTTTCCATTCTGCTCTCTCCCTCCCCGAAACACTGACACTTGTTGGATGACCTCACCTGGTTTTTATACAGAAAATTGAGTCCATGTGGTGTCAGCTCCCTTCAGCCCCCTCATCTCCACTAGAATAAACCCTGGGAACCCACGTTTTCCGCCCGTCCCTCCTTCTGGCTGTGAGGAAAGGGAGCCCATGTCCTCCTGGCCTTTCTGCAGCTAACGCTCCCTGACTGTGACCCTGACACAGGCCTCCAGCGGGGGGCACCCCCTCCCCACAGGCAGCCAGTGCTGGATGTTGCCCCCCACCCCACCCCGCCCAACTCCCACAGCTGTCAATTGCAGGAAAAGAATTTGAGCCTCTCCCCCACCCCTCGAGGACATCGTCGGATTCCCCCTGAGATCTTTTCTGAGTTCATCTGTTACACGATCCCGAGCTCGACCCTTTTTTCATTGTCTTACATTTCCTTCATTTCCAGACAGAAATGGGGCCTCGTTTTAAGTGGCTTCGGAGGTTTAGATGTTCAGGTTCTCACAAAGAATCTAATGGAATGGATTGAACTATTTGAGTTTCTCTGAATGCCCAGACCTTTTTTTAAAAAAAAAAAAACTTTATTGTTGAAAGTATTACATATGTCCCCATTTTGTTGATCTCTTCCCACCCACCCACACCTTCCCTCTGAGATTCGACAGTCTGTTCTATGCTTCCATGTCTCTGGATCTATTTTGTTTGTCAGTTTATTTTGTTCATTAGATTCCACACATGAGTGAGATCATGTGATACTTGTCTTTCTCTGACTGGCTTATTTCATTTAGCATAATATTCTCCAGGCCCTCCATGCTGTCTCCAAGGGTAAGGGATACTTCTTTTTCACTGCTGCATAGTATTCCATGGTGTAAATGTACCACAGCTTTTCTATCCATTCATCTACTGATGGCACTTGGGCTGTTTCCAGATCTTAGCTATTGTAAATTTTGCTGCTATGAACATAGGGGTGCATACATTCTTTCTGTTTGGTGTTTTGAGTTTCTTAGGTTACATTCCTAGAAATGGGATCACTGGGTCAAATGGCAGTTCCATTTTTAATTTTTAAAATATTTTTATTGATTTCAGAGAGAAAGAGAGAGGGAGAGAGAGATGGAAACATCAATGATGAGAGAGAATCATTGATCAGCTACCTCCTGCACACCCCACACTGGAGATTGAGCCTGCAACCCAGGCATGTGCCCTGATCAGGAATCGAATCATGACCTCCAAGTTCATAGGTTGATGCTCAACCACTGAGCCACACAGAGCGGGGGCATACTTAAGGTTTTGAGGAAACCCCACCTGTTTTCCATAACAGCTGGACCAGTCTACATTCCCACCAGCAGTGTACCAAGGTTCTCTTCTCTCCACATCCTTGCCAGCACTTGTCATTTGTTGATTTGTTGATGGTAGCCATTTCATAGAGATTTGTTTTGTATTCTAACATGTGGTCTATCTTTAAGAAAGACCCATGTGCGCTTGAGAAGAATATATATTCTGCAGCTTTGGGGTGAAATGTACTATAAATGTCAATTAAATCCATCTGATCCAGTGTGTCATTTAGAGTCACTGTTTCCTTGATAATTTTTTTGTCTGGAGATCTATCCAGTGAAGTCAGCAGGGTGTTAAAGTCCCCTTTAATGGCTGTATTGCTGTCTCTCTCTCTCCCTTAAAGTCCTCCAGAAGATAGATAGATATATAGATATAGATTAGATATAGATATAGATATAGATATAGATATAGATATAGATATA